GCGTTCATGTAAGCAGAGGGTGGCGCTGCCAATAACACACCTAAAAGCTGTCAAAGACAACAGAAGAACACACCGTTTCACGCGCACACTTGCATGGCATAAAAAAAGACTTGCGTAGCATATAACGGTTACAGTAACTTGGGACGATGTCAAATAAAAGTTCTGTGCAGACCACAAACACCTGGGTTAGAGGTGTGGCTGAATCCGTATTCAGAAAGGTGCGGAAAACAAATAACGCGTTCTACGGAGCCACTAAAGGGACACGGTTAGCTGCTTGCTAACGGTAGCCTGTTATATTACAGTGCATAACATTTCACTTACCACAAAAACAAAGCAAGGAGAGATGACTGATAGGATGATGGCGAATGATTTTCAGATCCTGAGCACCACTGACAAACATCTAATCTTGTAAAATGTGTGATAAGTAGTTATGTTAATTATGTTAATAAGTGCCGTCTTTCGATTGTGTTTATTATATTAATATGTTTCAGCACGTTACAATCATTGTATGGCTTGAGTTAAGGTAGTCTATCTTCTGAATTAAACAGTTTATCATACATATTGAAAGTGTGAATCCCGTCTCTCTCCCTCTTTCTCAGTTTATAGGTGTTTGTGCGTGCATGCGGGGGAGGGATGCGATTTTTCGAATAATAATCGAATAATACCTTGCGATTTTCTAATATTATTTTTGCTTGGAATGCCCATCCCTATATTATAATTCAGACACCAGACTTTTTTTTTTACTAGTTGGTAAGGGAGGATAGCAAAATAAAGTAAACGTAACATATTATACCCAAAAATGATTCATACAGTGGACTAAGTGTAAAACTAATAAAAATTTGGGACCAAAAATTATTCAGACACTTTGACCTGACCATGCTTTGCTTAAGTGTTTTTCTTTAATTGCTAATGCGACCTTTTTACACCACAGACTGAACAAAATTAAGCAGTGCTTGGTAATTGGGTGACCTAAATTGGTATTATCTAATTGTGTACTTAAATTTAACAGCTGACAGCTATTCAACCTAATTCATTACACACCTTTCTATCAAAGTTATCTGACATTATCGAGATGAATTTGTTCTGACACAGTTTAACTCTAAGGTCTTGTCATATTTTATTACCATTTTGTAAACTAACTAGCAAATAAACTGTGATAATGTGAGAAATGTCGAATGTGTTTGAATAAATTTAGGTTTGACCGCGTGTGTGTATATAAAATGGTACAAATATTCATACTGAATTTTTAGATATTGTTACTTTTGAAAGAAACTAAATTACTTTTCAAATTCTGTCCATTTTATAGAGAAATTTAGTTCAACAGGCAGCGCAGAGCATGACTGAACACGACCAGCCCTTTCTTTTTACTACTACTTATAGCACGAAAGACATACAAATACATTCAAATATAGACACATCTGAAAGTATGTTGAAAGAAACAACTTATTAATATGCAACATATCCCATGTAATCAGTGTCTCAACCGTGGAAAAGAGGTCAATAAAACCAGTTGTGAACAATGTCACATTTACCTCAGAAAGTCATTCAGCATCCATAGTTCATCAGTTCGTGAGAGAAATTACATCTAGAGAAGAGTATTTTGCTAAATATATGCACAATAGCTTATGTATTCATTATATTTTGCTTAACCTGTAATGTTTATGTGCTTACAAGTCTATGTCTATTATGTTTATATAAATCGGTTATGAAAAGCTTTTACAACCACTGTGTAAATTATATTTCAACAACAAACTGGAGCAGAAACATAATTTTATAATAAGATCTAGAAAAGATTTAGAAAATAAATCTAAAATGTATGATTTTCCTATCTCATGTTTCGGGATGACTGGGAAACAACATACACTCATATCCGTAAAGTTGGTAAACATGGACACAGATTAGGCTACTTATTTTGCAAATCAAGTTTCCGTCTGTCTCTGTGTTCATTTTCATTGCAATGAGAAGGAAAGCCTGCTGTCTGTGGAACGAAGCCTTATTATAACACAACTCAAGGGTAGGGGCACACCAAACCGATGCCAAAGAACAAGTGCTGAGAAAAGCCGACTGTGGCATCGCGGCAAAAAAAGTTGCACTAGAACACACCGGACAGACTACAGTCGACAGTCAAATAGTTTATACGCTCTGCGCTTGTGCGAGAGAACATAACTCTACCATACCAGCAGGTGGCAGTAGTCTGTATTCAGCATTCAATCAGGGAAACCAGAAAAGTGAGAACTGTGGATATACAAAGCAAGCAGCACTTGCATTTTCCATTGTTTATACCAGTCACGCTTAATACTGACGGATTCGTGCTTTAAGCGCGCAAAGAACTGTTTTGTCTTGAGGGGAACAACAAAACAGCAGTTGTGATCCACTTACCAAAGCTCTAGTTTCACTCTCCGCCCATCCAACAGGATCGTGGTGGTCTTGTAGTCGATTCCTGCAGAATGAGAGACAGAGAACACTTAGATAAGACACGCACCTGTCTGTTTGCCATCAGACATCACACAAGGTTGTCTACTGAAAAGAAAAGAAAAAAAAGGATCGGGAACTCAAAAAGCTTCGGCCGTCAGCATGATCGCATTTGGTGTACTACCTAATTTAATTCTCAGCCAATTCTTCCTTTCATTAGAAGGCACTAAAGCTGAAATGACCATCTTGATAGTGACTGTGCACATTCAGTGGAAAGCTTGACAGCTGCAACCAATCTGCTGTTACCTAATGCTATCATAGCTGAAATGTGACCAGGACGCTTCCCTTAAGGCGATTACCTTGACTGCTTATCTACATTTATCGTTCATAAAACGAAAAAATGAACACAGTACGGGCTCCATCAACTGAATGGCAATATCTGCATTTTCGGGCGCTTCACAGCAGGTCAGCATTCAAGCCTGTTTTGCATTTTAATAGACAGCTCTGTCTCTAACAAAGGCTCACTGCATCTCTTTTCATACAGGCCAGTGCCTGTAATATTCACCATGCCAAAAGCGCTTGTCTCAGTGGATCATCTTTTTGCACACTTGAAAAATCTGATTATCCGTAATGCTGACAACATGGACATGGACTTGTCCCCAACCTGGAGTAGTGTGGAGAACAGCATTTTGTCTAAGCAATAATAAAAGGACACATTTAATTTATTTGTCTTAAATCTCATTTTGTTAAAAAAAAAAAATAATAATCGTGAATCGAATCGAGAAATCAAAATCGTGAATCGAATCGAATCGTGAGTTGGGGGAATTGTTACATCCCTAAACGTAAAACGGACCTTCCCGAAAACTCTCCTCCGAATTCACAAACACTTCGTACACATCAGATTTGATAGTTAAACATGTGTTAATGAATTCTAATCATTCGTAAATAGGGCGCTCGTGCACGCTCGTTCACAATTAGCATAATCCCCGCCTATGAATTACAGCTAGCAAATTGCGTGTCCAGGAACGCAGTGGAATATTCTGGTCTACTTTCTCAGGTTTGACTCCAGTATATTGCATAAATGCAAAAAACACTAATAGGCCATATGCCTAACAATAAATATTCAATAACGTGTGTCCACCAAAGCGTTTTAGCCAGCTGAAAAAAAATGTCAGGCGCTCATTTTAAAACAGCCAGCTGGTGGTGCTGGAGGACGCTTTGGTGGCACAGCATTTTTCTAGCTGAGACTCTTTGGTTGCTATGATTTGAAATATCCACGGCAGTAACGTATTACTAGCATCTCATTTTGAAGAATATTACTGAATATAAAAATGCAGTAACCAGCAATATTAACTTCT